GGTATCTTCTAGCGTATAGTGGATCTTCACTATACGCTTCATGACGGTTACGGATGCGCCTGTCGCAAGACGTACCGTCATCCTCGTAGGAGGTGTGTCACATTCATCAAACTTGAAGTGACCATCTTCTAGCGATTGGCGTCGCACAAAATTGTTGGACGCCCCACAATCGACTAGAGCTCGAAGGGACAACTTACTCGTCACTTCGAGTTTCAAGGTAATGAGTGAGACCTCATTACCTAGAGCAGCAACGCACAACGTTTGTGTGTTGGGAGCAACCTTCATCAAGAGGCCTACAAATTCTCTTGACGTTGCTAGACCAGTAGGGTGCTCCGCACCTACTGATCCTGTCCGTTTTTTGACGGTCCATCCCGTTGTTGCGTCTTTGCACCAACTGCGGACCCTCGTCCCTGCCCCTTTCTCATGGGTGGACGGTCACTACGCCCAGTGTTGCGAGACACTGGACGAGGGGCACTACACTCGTAAGCATAGTGTCCTGTCTTCTGACATCTGTTGCATTTCTGCAACTTCTTGTATTCTGTAGAGCGAGCCTTCTCGCTCTCTACATAACAGAGTTCCATCGGCTCTGGACCTCCGTTGTCATATCGTCTCGCTTGACGATATGATGTCGAGCTGGCGCGAGCCTGTCTCAGACTGAAGTCTTCCTGTTCCGCAATGGAAATGGCTTGTTCTAGTGAATCTAGTTCAAGTCGGAACAGGTGAGTCTCGACGGGACCATCCGCAAGACCCTTCATGAACACCGAAACCAACGTGTGTTCATCCACCGGATTGGAACTTATACAACTCGTAAGATGTCGTATATGTTGCGCGTAAGCGTGCACATCACGCTTACCCTGTTTGAGCTTCAAGAGTTCGGTTCGAGCCCTGAACTCAGCTCTAGGCGGTTCAAACGTTTGCCTGAGCCGCGACTTGAAGACTTCCAACGACCCAAACGCATATGGGTCGTGCAACTTGAGCCCCAAAACCCAAGTCTTGGCACGTCCTGCCAGATTTGACTGGGCAAATGCAACTTGCACATCCCCGTCGTCGATGCGACGCGCCCTTATGGCGCCGTCCAATTCGACGAACCATCTCAAGAGGGAGTCTTCTTCGACCCCCCTATACTTTGAGATGTCAATCTTCAAAGTCTCGGGTCGACGCGAGTGCATCGACCCGCCAGCAGCAGCCTGCTGCTGTCTCAACAGTTCAAACTGTTGAGCACCTTGTTCTCTCAACAACTCTGCTTGTTGAGAACCTTGTTGGTGAAGCAAGGCTACTTTCTCGCGTTCTGCGTCAAGTTCATTTTGAATGAACTTGGCGATAGTAGCATGTTGGGCATCTCTATTGAGAGCCTCTAGCATGACGCTAACAGCATGGATGCCCATGGTTGAACCCATCCGTTCAACCGCATCCCATTCGACATCGCTCAAATGGGAGTAGCCGTCACGCGTAGCGTGAAAGCTTTGGTCATCTTCATCATCCAACACATTCACGTTGGATATGAACGCGGTCCTTGGACGGACTACGAAGTGCTACCAGGTGTAACGGGGCACCCTGAAGCTTGTACTGGTGACAGTACAAGCTACTTATTCTGATGACAGAATAAGGCGGTGCCTCGTAACTTCACGTACACTCGTACGTGCAGAGGAAGACGGTAAGAAGAAGCGAGTACTCGGTTAGAGTAAAAAGTAGAACTGTATTTATAATAGTTAATGTCTGCAATAAATCACTATTTATCTTCATCTAACTATGTCTAAATACAAATGTGTAAATCAGTTATCTGCTCACCACTCATTGCGTGCGTCTGTCGTGGCGCGTCTTCGTTGGTTGATATAATGGCATATATCAACCAATTAGGAACTACTTGTAAGTGCTACAGAATATTTGTCCTTATGACAATATTCTGAGAATATAACTCTTATAGTTATATTCTATTAACAATTTCTTATAAATTGTTATGTAACGATTCACCCCGTTACATGCCCCGTTACACAATGAATCAAACGGGCTGGAAAATCTTTCGCAGACGGTAAAGGCGCAGTTTTTCGATAGGAAAAGGTTATTCGAGTAGAAACTCAGAATGTGAGCGGATTTACGAAGGAACTAAGATCCGGCTGGTTCGAGGCCTGGCGGAGAGTGCTAACGGGCCAGCACCTAATTCTCTGTTGTTTACAAGACCACATTGATAGCATTTAGTTAGCTACGAGGTTGCAAGACAACTGGAAGCGCCGTAAGGGACAACCATAGCATGTTACAGGGTATCCCCTATCATATTGAAGTGTCGGTGCTGACACAACGGGGTGTGTGGCAATTTACTCGACCCACGTCGAGCTGCTAATGATGTTGCAAATTATCCGTTGCTGCCGCCAACACTTATCGTGATACTGATCACGCCGGGTAAATGGTAACCACATATATTGCTATAGTAGACGATGATAATGCCAGGTCCATAGGAAGACGCAAGATTATGAGAGGAAACAATGTATGTCAGTGGTAGTGGTTAACACGTCAATAAGTTTGTGAGTTCACAAATATCATCACAGTACGCAAGTACTAGTATAATCAGCAGCGAAGAGTCGACTGCTAAGCTGGAGAACTCCGGCGTGCATAAAGCTAGAGAGCGGACGCGTCGTCCCGGATAAAAGGTTATGAGCCCAAACGGTGAGCGAGAAGATGATGGCGTCTTCTCGCCATCGAGAATCTCGCTAGTTTGAAGACATGGGACGCTTTCAGACTCCTGACCTAACCGGAGGGCCTCCACTTCCATCTTCGTCATTAAAGGAACAGAAATCGATGACCCCATATGCTCATATATTTATGATGCAACTCACTGCAACCTTGCAACAAGAAGTTCGCGAGTGAAGGGCACAAGCCCAAGCATCGAGGCAAACCGACTCAAATGTGGCAATGCACACCGCCTCATTGGCGACATCTTCCGCAGCATATCGGCCAGTTGATGCACCCAAGTTGAAGGACTTCAAGGTCATTCAGTTCACCGGGAAGAGCAACACTCAGGACTTGGAGCAGATTGGGACTCGTTCAAGTATCAATTTGATGTGCAGATATAAACGCTTGAGACCTTCGATCTCGTAGTCTGGAATGAAGAGCACCGACTGAGCGCTATGGCGATGTGCTTTCGCGGCGCAGCTATTAGGCATTTCAAATACCTCGCGGATCGAGGACTTACTGCCAACTATGACAGTGTCTGCAGGTCCATGAAGAATCTCTTTTGCTGTAAGCTAAGCCAGTCTCAACTGGGAAATCTACTTGAAGAACCCAAGAGAAACAAGGCAACATGGACATCTCATATCGAGTACATGAGAGCTGTGGCTAGCCGCATGGATGGTAACCCGAGCAAGAATATCCTTGCATACTTCTGCTCATACTCTTGCCCATCAGAGGAGCGAAGCTTGCTGACAAAGATTGATCAAGACAGCTCGGAGTACGGGACCGAGCTCAAGAAAGTTACTTGATACCTGACAAACGTTACTGGTAACGGAAAAGGATTCGTCTGTAAGCCAAAGGGAGCGGCGAATTTGTACGACCGTGCTAAAAGAGACAAACCGAAGTTTGAGAATCCCCAGCAAAGGTCAAGGCAAGCTGGTGATGCGATCAGTGCAGGAGTAGCCGAGAAGTATCCTAAGCGTGCATGTTTCTTCTGTGAGGATGAGGGACACATTTTTACAACATGCCCACTCAAGAAGGAGTTTCGGGAGAAGAAGAAAGGATTAACAGGCTCAGCTAATGTGGTGGGGGCATCTCTCGAGATCAACAAGACTGGTGATAAGAACTGTCAGTACTCATCATGCTGGGCAGCGTTCAGAGGCACCAGTAATGAACGGAGATGGTTGCCGGACTCATGCGCTAGTCATCACATATGCGGTACCGGATTTGCACTGCAAAACGAGTACGCTTGCAATCTGTCCGTAACTATCGCAGATGGACGCACCATCCAGTCTACCACGTGTGGTCACATCGTGATGAAGATAGATGTCAACGGAAGTCAAACCAAGATTCTGTTGCAAGACGTGCACGTGACTCCAGGCCTGCGCAAAAGTTTGCTATCAAAAGGTCAACTTGCAAAGAAAGGTATTCATACCTCATTCACTAAGCAAGGCGCATCACTGTAAAAGCTTGACGACACTGGAGTCAAAAATGCTGTTGGCTGCGCCACGTGGAACAATGGACTTTGCTACCTTAATGGGCATGCAATCGCTTCGGCTGTTGCGAGCGTCGCAGCAAAACCTAACGACAGCATCATGGAATGGCATGCTCGACTCGGCCATGATAACGTTAAGGATGTGGCGATGATTGAGAATAATGACCTTGCTGATGGTCTACAAATCACTGACAAGAAGCAAAGTGATTGTGATGCATGTCGCGAGGGGAAACAAACAAGAAGCGCTTAAGCGCAAACAGACACTTCCAAATCATCACCATCGGATGAGATTGGCGCCGTAATTGGAGTTAGTATCAAGTCAAACGTCAAACCGCACGAATTTATAGGCTGTACTCACTCTTTGCATGTTGTCGACTACACGTCTAGCTATAGAGAAGTATTTCTAATGCGTGCTAAGTCCGACTGGTTCCCGTTGCTGACAGAATTCATTTTAAGATGTGAGCGACAATGCGACGTGCGAGTGAAGGTCATTCGGAGTGACAATGAATTTCACACGAACAAGATAAGGTCGTGGTGTGCAAAAAGCGGTATCTGACAGCAGCTAACGGAACCAGATGAATTGCCTTCCAGTGGAAAGGTGGAGAGGCGTCACAGGACTTTGTTTGACGGCATGCGGGCTATGATAATTGATGCTGCTCAGGCTCCTCGCTTCCCATGGTCGGAAGCACTACGACACTAGTCATGGTTAGGAAACCGACTCCCGACACGCGCAAACGGCGGGAACAAGTCGCCTATTTAAGCTCTCACTGGACTCAAGCCCAACCTTAGTAGCGTACTAAAGTGGGGACAAACAGTCACGGTTGACATCAAGAGCAAGTCAATGGGAACACGGAAGAAGTGTGAGCACGGCACATTCATCGGGTATGATGACAAGGTCAAGGACAATCGCGTGTTTGTCAAACGCATCAAGAAGGTTTTGGCATCGCGGCATGTCCAGTCGATAAACTCGGCCAAGAAGAGTATCTACAAGGATCTACAAGCTATAGATGATGTACATATCGACACTTCTCTGACGCAGAGGGCATACCGAGTCCAAGTGAATATGGATCGAGTGTTTCTGGTCGCGAAGAAATTGAAGATGACTTACACACTGGTGTAAATCAATCGCTGGCAGTACGACGCAAGCGTCGTCATGTCAACATGCCTGCTTGATATGCTGACGGTGCCGCAATGGTGGTTGTACGACTCAAAGAGCCAAGGTCCGTCAAAGAAGCCATGACTCTTCCTGAAAGACAAAAGTGGATCGATGCGATGAAGGCAGAGCTCGATGCACTCGTCGAAAATGGCACGTGGAAGGTTGTCGACGAACCAAAGAAGGGTACTAACATCGTAGACAGCAAATGGGTTTTGAAGATCAAATTTGATGCCGATGGTGACGTTGAGCGCATTAAGGCAAGACTTGTTGCCCGAGAATTTATTCAGAAGTACGGCGTTGATTTCTAGGAGACACTTGCACCGGTGATAAAATTGAGCAGCGTGCGTCATTTTTTGCATTATCAAGCTTGCTTGGACTGCTACTGACTCATGGCGACGTTCCTAATGCCTACGTGAAGAGTTTGCTGCGCGAAGTCATCTACATGAAGGCACTCAGGGAGCTGGACGTCGAGGCGGGCAAGGTACTCAAGCTGCTAAAGCCATTGTATGGACCTTAACAGTCGGGTCGCTGCTGGAATGAGACGATGAACGAGTACATCATAGCGCTTGGTTTGTCAAGTCAAGACTCGATCCGTGCATCTACAACAAGCGCGGAAAAAAGGAGCGGGTGATGTTTTATGGACTTTACGTGGATGATGTGCTGATCGCAAATCATGACGAGGAGGAGCTGTGCGATGTTACACGGAAGCTAGAAGAGCGCTTCAGCATCTGGATGCTTGGGCAAGTGAAGAAATTGTTTGGTATCGCAGTGCACGAGACCTCGCACAGTAATTTTTTTCTCAGCAGAGCATGATGTGTGACGCACTCCGTGCATTCAATCTTGATCATGTCAGAACTGTCACGACTCCAATGGATCTCAACACAGACTCTAATGGTACTTACAGTGAAGAACTAGTGGACCTACATCGCGTACGTAATGCTCTCGGTACTCTCTTTTGGATTGCTGATTCTACTCGCCCGGACATAGCGTATGCTACAAACCTTGCGTCAACACACCGCGAGAGCCTCGTTAGTGCCATTGGGAGCTGATCAAACGGATATTTCTGTATCTCAAGGGCACATCAGATGGTGGTTTGCGTTACTAAAAGACAAGTGAGGCTGTTTTAGTTGAAAACCTCGAGGTCAAGATTTGGTCCGATGCTGATTGGGCTGGTGATCGAGTCGACCGAAAATCAACGAGCGGCGCCTTTCTTGAATTGAATGGTCGGCCGATAGCGTGGAGCTCAAAGAATCAAGCCGTTGTTGCGATGTCCACTATGGAAGCAGAGTATATTGCCGGTGCGACGAGTGTGTCTGAGTGTGGATGGATCAGGCATTTTCTTCAAGAGCTGCTCCGCATCAGAATTGTCCCAAGCATCATGGTCGATGAAAAACGAGATGGTGTCATCTGCTGCAAAGCACATTGCTATAAGGTATCACTTCATCAAGGATGAAACTAGCAAAGGACGCTTGAGTGTAAAATGGTGTGCCAGTAAGGACCAGCTTTCAGATATTCTTACCAAGGCGCTACCACGTCAAACATTCGAGGAGCTAACATTTAAACTTTAGGTGGCGAAGCGCGAGTTACAAGGTGAGTAGCTCATCACGGTCATGAGGGGTGTTGAAGGTTGACCGTTGCTGTCGCCAACACTTATCGTGATACTGATCACGCCAGGTAAATGTTAACCACATATATTGCTATAGTAGACGATGATAATGCCAGGTCCATAGGAAGACGCAAGATTATGAGAGGAAACAATGCATGTCAGTGGTAGTGGTTAACACGTCAATAAGTTTGTCAGTTCACAACTATCATCACAGTACGCAAGTACTAGTATAATCAGCAGCGAAGAGTCGACTGCTGACCCGGAGAACTCCGGCGTGCATAAAGCTAGAGAGCGGACGCGTCGTTACCGGATTAAATATGCACGTCCATGGCATTCTAAAGTGTAAACAAACCGGGTCAATTACGCTGAGATTGGAGATGCCCTGCTGGTTATCTATTCATGCGCCAAACCGTAATGCCAATAGGAAGCAATGATATTTTTGCCTGGTGTAATGCCGTGAGTAAGCAGAGATACCATTCTTGCGGGCAAATTAACGCAGTAAAAAGTCCCCAAATTTACCGCTTGGGTGTCCAGCATACTGGACGTCCAGAAAGTGCTCATTCAGTCCACTAGCTAACCTCAATAGAGCTGAAAGAGGCCAGTATTTTTTCACCCCCATTTTTAGACGACAATCCAACATAACCGATGTAAATGTTTTCATACTTGACCAAATCGACGGCTAGCAGAATTGAAATGTTCTATGTTCAACTTGGGTAGGCGTCTTTGGTGCAAAGGGTGGAGGTAAATGTAACGGAGTCACACTAGCCCTCGGCTAAATTGGTTGAAGACCTCCCGTATGTAAATTGGGCGACAAGTGTGGCCTTGAATTCATATCAATATATAATGCCGATTAGTAGGTATTCTCTGAGTTACGGTACCTACCGTGGATGTACTTTGTACCGTCATCATCTGACGACTGAGTAATGTGCCAACCATCCATGTAGTTTGGATACTAATATTTGTATTAGTTCTAGTTTAGTATAATGTAGGGGACTTAAAAGGGATTTTACTCGATGTAAAATCTGAATAAATTCAGTTCTCATTTTAAGCAGAATTCTGTAGACTCCCCCCCCCCTTTTGCACGTTGCGCTTGAAAGTTCCTTAGAACTGTCGTGTGTTAGATAGTACTTAGACTCCTGCATTCCCCTTTGTACATTGTGCGTGTAGTTCCTTAGAACTACAGTAGTCTGAGCTAACAGCCCATAGAGTCCATGCTAAGTTCCGTAGAACTGGCCAACTCTTTAAAAATAATGATATATGAGTTCCTCGGAGCTAATCGGCTACTTGCCTCATAACTATTTGCTGTTAGCCTTAAGCCTCTAGCTGAACCCATAAAGTCTTCCTCTGACCTTAGAGCTGTGGTAGCTCCGCTACACTTGGTAACACTTGTAGCCAATCCTGTACCTTATTCATATTCGACTGATCCTCTGTAAGAGATGAAGAGTCTTGACTACCTTTTTAAATCCAACGTCTCGCACTCGGTAAGCTTAAATCGTTGTTAGGGGTCGAGCAGGTTGACCACATTGTGGCCTAAGGCCCATAAGTGCTTTATGCTCGCCTTGATGCGTTCATGCAGTTAATGGTCACGCTGATCAGGTAGGTCCATGATTATTTAGCCTCAGCCATACCTACACGGTACTTTCCAGTGCCTGACAGTGAGTCAAAGACTTGTCCGCTCACTCCTAGCGATAAGAATTTCGAGGGGAAGGAGGGGGAAAGTATCCTCCTCTGTATCTGAGAAATCGATATAGCTATTGGAGCCTCCTTGCTTCAATCGGAGCGATAGAAGTTGATCTAGCCATTTTGAATCTAGACGGTAGAACCAGAGAATGGGATCTGACGTGTGATGCGTAAGGTAGCGCTGCGCTTCCCACTTGTGATTCGGTTTGATGTCTCGGGTGCTCGCGCCACCAAATCAAGCGTATCGTGTTCACTCTCGATTCCTAGCCACCAGGCAGGGAAAGAGAGAATCGTCGGACTTTTTCAAGAGTTGCGAACTCTCATGAATGCTATGCATTGTACCCTCTTCCAGAGCATGACCTTGTCACCATTTTTATGGAGAGCCTTCGTACGGAGATCGCGAAAACGGAAGTCTTTTGCGTCCACCCGTCAACGTTTGAAGAGCCGTAGACATAGCGTTGAATGCTGAGTTTAACATAAAGCCACTCTCTATGGCACCCATGGGCATGTTCAAAGATCATTTGACGGGGCTGAGCCCATGGACCTCAGCCATGCTGAAGAAGAAGAGAGAGGTCTTCTGGTTGTTGAGGAGCAACGTAACATCAGTAGATGTTACATGTGCGGGAGCACCAAGCACTTGCGCCCTCAGTGCCCACTGCGGAAGCCGCGTCAAAGTCGGACGAGCCGCAATCCGCCTCCTAACCCGAAAGCGGTTACGGAGCGGGAAAACGGCAACTCCTAGTAGGGCGTTCCGCGCTTACTGGGAAAGAACTAGGCTATGCCGAATCTCTAGGAGGTAGATATAGACAGGGCTTAGCCCTATACGGACTCGTAAAGGTCGCCACGAGGCAAGAGTTTAAGCCAGGATTATTGATTGCCTCGGCTAAGATTGAGGGCTTTAAAGAGCCTTAGTCAATTTAATTTGACTCTAGGGCGTCGGCAACTATGGTTCGGCGCCAATCCCTTAAGGGAAGTCAGCAGCATGCTGAGGTGCATAGAGCGCATGAGTGTGATGTTATCACTGTTCGCTTGGCGACAGGGACCCGTGTCACCGTACATCAATTTCATTAAACTTAGGCATAATGTTTTTAGACTTCGATAGTATCGAACGATGTCTTTTCCGTGATTTGGACTCGAGATATGATTTTATAATCGGGATGGCTTCGATGGAGCGATATGAACCATGGATTGATAAGAGATCATATACCTTAGGCGCCATGCGCAAAGTTCCTAGCGAAGCTTTGGAGAGTCATGAATTCACCTTTTCTAGGCGACAAAAGCCCTATTGGCGCGAGCCACTAACTGTGTCTGTTAGTGTGCTGGACATCGGAGTGTCTGAATTAATTAACCCTGACGTCAATAGCAATATTGAAACGGCACGTTCTACGTTGAGTGACAATAATAATAGTGAATTTCTGAATGCTAGTAGCATTGATGGCCTAAAGCCAAGTCATCCTGGATGTGATCCCTGTGATGCATGTGTTGTGGCACGTACTTTACTGAGTTAGGTCGGCCGTGATGGCACCCCATTGAATTTCGTTAATGACATTGCTGGTATTTGCCAAGGCATTTAGGGCTGGCCTATATGGTGCATGTGAAGTGGCACGTACTCTACTGAGTGAGGTCGGCTGTGATGGCACCCCACTGAATGTCGGGAATGACATTGTTGAAGATGCCTCAAGGCATCAAATCCATGCTCATTTAATACGAATGTCGTGGAAAACAATCCGCAGAGTGTGGTCGGCCGCGATAACACCACACTTTATGTCGGTGATGACACTGGATCTCAGTTGGAGCAAGTTGAGGTTGAAGATGATCCTAGCCTTGTGAAAACAGAGGTTTAGAACACGTTAAATTGTTCAGTTTTTATAAAGAGACGGCAGAGATGCCAGATGGCTGCTGCTAAACGAAAGGCATCTCCCATTTTCCAAAAGGAAACCAGTTAATATTTTTACACACTGGTGAATGGGTTGACGGGCAAAATTGAAGGAGAAGTTGGCCTGAAGGCTCTGCTGTTGTATGACGCTCTGTTAGAGCTAAATGAAATATCTGTGGATGAATTTCACCAGGCCTTGAAGGCCGGTGCTTTGTCTGATATGGCGGTCCTTACACCTGACCTAAAGCTGAACTCGTCATCCCTTTTGGATGACAGTCCTGGAGGACTTCAAAGTGGCCTTCAGTGCTCGCAGTGGATTTGCTATCTTGAAGGGTTCCTTAGGATTACTTCTGTT